CACCAGGCACGGTACCAAGTTCTCTAATATGTTAGCCCATTAAATCTTTACAATAGCTAAGAAAAAAGTGTTACTAATATCCTCATGTCGTAAATGGGAAAGTGGGGCTGAGGGAGGGTTGAGTAATCTGCCTAAATTCACGTAGTAAAGGCCTGAACCTGGATGACCCAGCCATGGTCCCTCGAGTTGTTTTCTTCAATGCCACAGAGCCATTTACATGGCATAGGCACTGTTCAGTCTCCATAGAGGTGGCCTCAGAAGTAAATCCAAGTAGATTCACGTCTGGGTGGAGACAAAGGCAGGGCTTAAGACCAAGTTCACTTGCTCTCTATAATTCATTATATAATAAAACATTTCGCCCTAGCCAGTTTGGCTCAGTGGATAGAGTGTCAGCCGAGGACTGAAGGATCCCGGATTCAATTCCAAAGGGCATGTTGTGCCTTAGTTGCAGGTTCGATTCCCGGTCCTGGTCAGGGCGCAAGCAGGAGACAACCAATTGATGTGTCTCTCTCACATCAATGTTTCTCTCTCTGTCTCTTCCCCTCCCTTCCACTGTCTCTAAAAATCAATGGAAAAATATCCTCGGAGAAGGATTAACAGAGAAAAATAATAATAAAAAAAAATAAAACATTTCTGTGTAACCTTGGGGACATTCCAGGGTAACCTTTTATTATATCATGTTTTCAAATCTGTAAAAAAAAAATTAAAAATTAATTTCCTGGTGAAAACTGAAAATTCATCAACCAGAGAGGCTTTTTTTTCTTCCTCTAATTATTTTAATGCAAACCATGACAGTTGAAAGCCATGATGACTTCATTTTTACACTCTTTTGCTTCTTTGTCTCTGACTTCAATTAAAGGCAGATGAAATAGGACACGGATTCCATCAACCAAGCATTCATTAGGCACTAACAGGGTGCAAGGCCCTGGGTCGGTGGTCGGCAAACTGTGGCTCGCGAGCCACATGCGGCTCTTTGGCCCCTTGAGTGTGGCTCTTCCTAAGCCTTAGGAGTACCCTAATTAAGTTAATAACAATGTACCTACCTATATAGTTTAAGTTTAAAAAAATTGGCTCTCAAAAGAAATTTCAATCGTTGTACTGTTGATATTTGGCTCTGTTGACTAATGAGTTTGCCGACCACTGCCCTGGGTCATGCATACTTAACCAGAGGCTGCTGGGTGTGGACTTGATGGGCTTGAGGCCTCCTTCCATGCCTTTGGCCACCAAGACCTCAGTCAGCACATCCCTGGGTGAGACTGTGGGCCTGCAAGCTGCCTCTGTCTCTGATGGCAGTTCCCCTGCAGGCCTGTCTCCTAGACCAGGAAGGCAAGTCCGTGTCACTCTCTCCGTTAAGCTGATGGACTAGGAGTGGCCGCTGGACCACAGGGTTGAAAAAGAGCCCTGATCTGCCCATCTGGTGTGGTTCAGTGATTGAGCGTTGACCTATGAACCAGGAGGTCAGGTTCGATTCCCAGTCAGGGCACATGCCCGGGTTGCAGACTCGATCCCCGGTGTGGGGCATGCAGGAGGCAGCCGATCCATGATTCTCTCTCATCATGGATGTTTCTATCTCTCTCTCCCTCTCCCTTCCTCTCTGAAGTCAGTAAAAACATATTTTAAAAAAATTAAAAAGAGACCTAATCCCACAGTGGGACTCACTGGAAACAGTGCCAGCTGGTCTGCTGATATCTTCCCAAGGCCAGGGACAAGGTCAGGGGGCCGCACACGCCACGGATTTCCTCTTCTGGCACTCGGCCCTGCAGTCTGCCCGGGGACAGTTTCACAAAGGAACCAAGAAGGGCAGGAAACTGGGCACCATAGAAAATGCGCCGTGATGCATCCGCCATTAGGGCAACATTCGTGGAATTAGCTGAGACTGCTCCACAAATTGATCCAGCGTGAGGGTGGTCAGAGTCCCCCTTGTTTGCCTGATCCATCAGACCTAGTGGCTGATCATCTGATTCCGATCGTGGGGAAAATAAACTGCCTCTGCTGGTTTGAGAGGCATTGTTGTGTAAGTGAAAGGAATATCAGGTGGTGGCTGAGCTGGATGAATTCTATGCTTCCCTTAAGCTTCAGTGTTTTCTGTATGTGCACATTCCTGCTAGGAACAACAGGTCTACTGCCTTGGTCTCTTACCAGTTAGCTCACACTCTGTGGGTCCAGAAGCATTCAAAATCGGGAGGTGGGGCTCCATATTCATAGAAGAGCAAACTGCCATGAAAAATTATGGTTGGGCAGGTTACCCTGAGCTCTGATGGCTCACAATTGCCAGGATCATCAGGAAAACATGCCCGATTCTGCTCTTGACGGTGCTTCCGTAAGTACTTATAATTATGATCCTTTTCAATTAAATTTTAATTGTAAAAGCAATATATTCTCCATGTGAAAAAGACCAAAACATTACAGACTGAGCCAAATCTTTCCTTATAACTATACCTGACCCCAGTTCCCTCTCCTTTCCCAAAGTTAACCGCCATAACTCATGTGAAATTCACCTTAATAGACCTTCTGTGCACTTACACACATAAACTGTACCTGCAACATAGATGCACAAAGTATTGTGGAACTTTCTGTGTGTAGGCAGGTTCAAAAAAATGATACCATGCTATGGGTAACCTTCTTCAGTCTGATAGTTTTCACTTAATACTCCATCGTGGAGAGCCCTCATGTTCGAAGACATTAGATCTACAACCTTTTTCAACGGCTGCAAAACATTTCTTAGTGTGGACGATGCCATCGCTCTAGTCATTCCTCTGTGCTGGAGCAGTTAGGTTGTTTCCCAGTGTTTCTGCAGATGGATAATCCTTCCCTGAACACCCTGAAAAACACCCCTCATGGGAGTATTTCTCGAGGGTAGATACCAAGAGGGTGAATGATTTTTTTTTTTACTAGTTACTGCTCAGTTGTCCTTGAAAGTGCCTATAACTAATTCCCCTTCACATCAGTTGTGTGTGAGCATGACCCCATATCTGATACCCTTCTCACCCCTTGGCATATCAAAGAGTCCTCATGTCACCCTCGTCTTTATAGTGTCTTTATATCTAAAGTGCCCAAGACAGTGTAGCTGACACACAGACGGTGAGCCACTAACATTGGCTCACACTCCTTTAGCTGGAATATCCTTTCCCATTGCGGTTCCCCTCCTTCCCCTCACCTCCACCTGCTCACCCCCAGGCGTCTGCACAGGGACCCCTCCTGAGCTCTGGGATAGGTGTTGTTGTTCTGAGTCCAGCAGTGCCCTCTCTCACTGCAGTTGATGAGCTGTATTACTTTTACATTTTCATGTGCCGTCTCTCCTACTAACCGCTGACCTGCTAGACACCATGGAATGGGCCTTTTTGCCTCTCTGTTTCCCCAACACCTGGCCCTGGACCCCACGCCTAGTCGGCCTTCAATAAGTGATTTAAAATGAAGGCCATTGTCATGGAGCCACATCCTCAACAGAATGAAAGCCCGTGAAAATGAACAGCGTATCGGCAGAAGGAGAAATTAAGCTGTCAATCTGCTGAACAGCAAAGATTTCTGTATTTCAGGTCTTTTAACGTGATGGAGCGGGAGGGAGGGGACTAAAGGTAAAACATAACAGAGCTGGAGAAAGGCTGTCCATTTTTAATCTGGAAAGCAATTAGCATGTCACTTCATTGCCACTGCCCGGGTGGGGGACAGGACCTCTGCCTGTCGCTGTCTCTGAGTGACCATCTGCTGTCCTTCTGTCCTGCCCACTCAGGGACCACGGTGATGCGGATGACAGCCTTCGACGCGGACGACCCGGCCACAGATAACGCCCTCCTGCGGTATAATATCCGCCAGCAGACGCCTGACAAGCCGTCTCCCAACATGTTCTACATCGATCCTGAAAAAGGAGACATCGTCACCGTGGTGTCACCGGCACTGCTGGACCGGGAGGTGAGCTGAAAGGCACACATCTTCTTCAAGTGCGGCTCTCACGTGAGGGAAGATGCGGGGTTTTATGCCATAAAGGTGGAAATGAGATATTTACACAGGGCGGCGTGGGAAAACCTATAAAGGGAAATGGGGTATTATATGAACCCAAAACACACACTGTCAGCTCGAATTATTTGAGTTCGTTTAAACTGATGCCTCTGTGTCCTCAGCAACCACTTACTCTGAGCCCTGGTGATCATGGACCCCAAACCTCACCTCTCTACCATGAGGGAGAGGGAGGGGGAGGGAGGGAGGAAAGAAAGACGGGGAGGGGGAGCTTTGTCTAAGATCAGTGATGGTCTCCCGTCACAGCAGGTGGCTTCGCCCTCGTTGCTCCCTCACACCCTCTGCTGCGCACACTGTTTCCCCGGGGCCGCCTTTCCTTCGGTCTCCGCTTGTCCCCCTTGAGGTTGTCCCTGCGACACCTCATCGGCTTCTGGGTCAGATGTCACAGACAGGTGGCACATGGACCTCACCGGTCCATGCTCTTGCTCTGGTTTATCCCAGGGTGTTTTAAAGTTTTCACCTTAGTTGCCATGTCAAAGTATTTAGATTTTATGTTTCTTTTTAAAAATTCCAACTTCTGGCCTTTCTGAAAGTCAGAAATTCTGGAAATTTGGGGCGCGGTTTCCGCATGTGGATACTTGGTAACAACAGATGTAAGGGTTACATGGCAGCTGCCCCAGTCAGGTGGGCCGTGTGCTTCTGCTCAGGTATGAACCCTCCTCCATGTGTCCCCTGGCCCTGCCCTTCCTCCTGAGCTCCAGGTCACTGCAGACTACCCTCAGCTGGAAAGCCTCTTGAGCCTTCCAACAGAGTGTACCAAACCTTGGGGGTTCCCGCCCACCCATCTACCCATCAGCCCCTGTGCCCAGCCCAAATCTGCCCCCACCACCACCCTGGCATTTCTTGCTCCCGACCTGGCATCACCCCACAAGCATGAGTAGCAACCTGGACCTCAGCATGAGTAGCAACATGGACCTTCTACAAGTACCCTGCCTTGCAGTCACCGCTGGGTTTCCCTAACGGGTTCCGTGCATATTCCCCTTGGTGTTTCTGATTAAACAGATCTTGGGTCAGAAATGCCTTCTCTCCTTTCTGCTTCCCCTGCTATATCACAAGTACTGGTTACACACACCTCCTCAGAGAAGCCGTCCTCCTCCACCTGAGTCTTCCAAGGGTTCTTTCTCTAATCTCGGCCTGTGCTCGCCCGAGGCCATCACATGGCGTTTTCCATAAGCTCCTTTAAGTTGTCATTTGTCTCCTTAAAGAATATCCCCTTCTTCTTTGTCTAGACCTGTGTTGTCCAATGTGGTACCCACTAGTCACATGTAATTATTTAAGTCTAATTTTCAGCAATTGAAATTAAATGTAAAAAGGTTCTCAGTCAGACTAGGCAGATATCAAGTACTCAGCAGCTTCATGTGGCCAGTGGTACTGTATTGGCCAGAACAGACGTAGAATATCACCATCAACATAGACAGTCCTGCAGGCAAGGCTGGCCTAGGCTGTAAAGTACTTGAGAATAGAGACTGTGATCATAGGCGTGTGGGTATCCCCATGGCCTGGCATAGTTTGAGCACTCCTAAAAAATTCTAATTATATGGGCTTTGGTGTATAGACAAGAATGAATGGGAAAGGAGGCTAAGATTTTTATACTTCAGAGTGGGAAACAGTAGCTAGAAATGGGAAATTATTGCCAATGAGGGTGAGAATGAAATTTGCATAGAAACTATGGTTGTCACTTGAAAAAAGGTGATTGTTTCCATTTAAAAATAGAAAAGCAGGAAAAAAAAGAACAGACTGAGTCAATTTCCTTCATTTTCTCTCCTATTCTCTTTTCAACCCTCCCTAGTATGTGGCTGCCTGACTGCCATACTATCTTCTTTGGAGGCAAGTAATTATTTTCCAACTCTATCATCCACCCAGGATGCCTGTGCGTACACACACACACACACACACACACACACACACACACACAATGCAGTGATTTTTCTATCTCAGTTCTCCTTTTACTGATAGAAAAGGTTTTGTCTCTATTTATAAATCAAAGTGATAACATAGTGGATTATTCCATTTTTTAAGGTTTGTTTGGCGACAGATGTGTTTCAAGCTCATTATCTTTTCATGTGGGTTTTGGCTAAGTTGCAATGAGTGTATAATTATGGGAGTTGAATTAAGCACTTCTAGCCACATACATAAACAGCTCCCAAAAAAAAAAAGCGACTAACACAATTTAACTGAAATTGGAAAATCAATGGAAATGAGTGAAGAGTGTCACTTTTCTGTGAAGGTTCCCAGAGTTCAGTGCTGACCCAGCAGCATCCGCAAAGGAAGCTTCCTGGGCGTAGGCAAGCGTCGCCTGTGTACTTGTGCCGCTGTAGCTACTTGTCGGCAAGCTGCTGAAGGATGAAATGAGACTCCGAGTCACTCATCTTTAAAGGGACAGAACTCACACAGCAGACAGACCTCTAGTTGGGGTTGCCCACAGTTTGCAATGTTTTCGTCTCACTGCCCTCCTGTACGTATGGCAGGTTCCCTCAGCAGGACTGGCAATTACTTTTCATTGTTTCTGGACACCTTCTGAGTAAGCTCCTGTCTTAGGTGTGGTTTTAAACGTCTACTTTGGGACCATCTGGGCAGAATGTTTAACACAGATTAATGTCAAGAAAATATCCCATTGGGGGAGCCCAATGAACTTTGCATGATTCCAAATGGTTTTAGGTTTAGTCACCCTGTCTTCACTCACGGTACCTCAAATAGCGTATTTGGGGGTTGGATGCTGTGAGTGTAAACAAACAGGTCAGGGACCCCTGGGGAGCCGGGGCCCCTGAGGTTGTACAAGCAGTTTGCTCCCCTCCAGCCCCCACCTTGGTGGGAGTGGAGGCTCTGGAAACACACCAGCCGGTTGACATGCACTCAAATGATATGATATAAATTTTTCATTTTGATTTTCCATTAGAACCTTGCCTTTTATGAGTACTCCAAGGAGTCGGCATGCACTGTTTTCTGAGAACTTGCCTGTTTACCTTCCCTGCCTTTCACGTTTTTAATTTGTAATAAAACTTGTCCATGAGGGCAGTCAAGGACACCAGTAAATAATCATTTTTAAAATTTATTTTTCAGTTATAGTTGACATATCATATTGTATTCAGGTGTGCAACATAGAGATTGGACAGTTATATACCTTACGAAGTGATCACCCTGATAAGTCTCATATCCACCTGACAGCACACATACTAGTATTTATTACAGTGTTATTGACTATATTCCCTAGGCTGTACTTTATATCCCACCACTTTATTTATAACTGGCAAGTTGTACTTCTTAATCCCTTTCAGCTTTTTTTGCTCATACCCCTTCCCACCTGGCAACCATCATTTTGTTCTCTGTATCTGGGAGTTTGTTTCTGTTTTGTTCTTTTGTTTGTTTTGTTCTTTAGATTCCACCTGTAAGCGAAATCATATGGTATTTGTCTTTCTCTGCCTGACTTATTTCACTTAGCATAACCCCCTCTAGGTCATTCATGTTGTTCCAAATGGCAAGATTTCTTTTTCACGACTGAGTAATATTCCATTGTGTCTGTGTGTGAGTGTATCACTTCTTTACCCATTTATCTATGGATGGACATTGAGGTTGCTTTAATGTCTTGGCTATTATAACTAATGCTGCAGTGAACATAGGGGTGCCTATATCTTTTCGCATTAGTGTTTTTTATTTCTTTGAATAAATACCCAGAAGTGGAATTCCGGGTCATATGGTAGTCCTGTTTTTAAGTTTTTGAGGAACTTCCATACTGTTTTCCATTGTGGCAACATGTTACCATTGTTATTGTTTTCCTCTCTTCTTCCAATCCTCACTCCCCAGGATGTTCCAAGTGGGGCCAGCTGAGGCAGGTGCCCTCACGGAGCTGCTCCTTCCACACTTCCAGGAGAAAGGGATTTTATCTGGCTTGTTCCCTGACATATCCCCAGTCCTTACACATGTGAGATGCTCAAAACTATTGTGTTGAGGGATGGAAAGAAGGATGTGTGGAAGAGAGTGGCAGGCAGCATGGATTTTATGCCATATTTGTGTGCACAGGCTGCTGTCCGGCAGGATAACAAGGGTCCAGGTCAGCTGATGCTGCTTCTCTCTTAATTTCCTGGTATGTTTTGGGTGGTGCAGCCTCTGGACCCAGTGCGAATTCAGGGGCAAGACCACCCTCTCTCACCCACTCTGGGCAATGGGAAAATGCTGGAAGGCAGCCCACCTTCTGAGGACCCATAACTGACCCCCCTCTACCTTCTAACCACGGTCATCAGCTGACCTGGCTGCCCATTTGACAGGCCAGCATTGCCCAGCAGCTGCCCTCCAGTGAGTGGACTGAGAAGTGAGCTCTCCTTGAGATGTCCCTCCTCCACTGAGCAGTGACCTTGGGGAGAACAGGAGGACTCTGTGGAAAGTGATAGGGACAGTGGAAGTGACAATGGAAGGAAGGAAGGAAGGAAGGAAGGAAGGAAGGAAGGAAGGAAAGGAAGGAAGGAAGGAAGGAAGGAAGGAAGGAAGGAAGGAAGGAAGGAAGGAGGGGAGGGAGGAAGGGAGGAAGAGTGGATGAATGGACAGATGAGTAAATATCTAACAGATTGTCTGAGAACTTACTGCAAGACCCACATTCTAGCATGGGCATGTAAACAGAGGAAATTATTTTATTGAGTTGAGAGCTTGGTCGTGTCCTTGTGTACTCATCCAGTAATCGAATTTTTTCACCTTACACCTACCTTGTGTCAGGAACTGCGCTAGGCTCTAAAAACTACCATAGAATGAGATGAGCATGAAGATCTGTGTCTCTTGCTTAAATGTTTGGCGAAACATTTGGAGAAAGTAAGAGCCATATATCTTACTAAACAAAATTGGGTTCATTTGGGGCACCGTTTCATTCTTTTCTATAAGCATACTCAGCCCCTCATTCTGACGGCTCT